TGAGTTTGGACCAATCACCACGAGACGGGGATTTCTGATCCCACCTTAGGCATGAAAGCTGGCTGGCTGAGTTTGGACCAATCACCACGTGACGGTGAGTTCTACTCCCACCTCAGGCATGAAAGCTGGCTGGCTGAGTTTGGGCCAATCACCACGTGACGGGGATTTCTGATCCCACCTTAGGGATGAAAGCTGGGTGGCTGAGTTCGGGCCAATCACCAAGAGACTGAGTTCCAGTCTCGCCTGAGGCGTGGAAGATGATTGGGTGAGTTGGGGACAGTCGCTCTCTATCATCCCAGCCCACCTCACAGGGTTGTTGTGAGGAAAATAGGAGGAGGAAAGAGTATTAGGTACGTTGCCTTGATTTATAAAAAATAATAACGGCAGGATATAAATAAATAAAGTTTTGCAAAGGATAACTGTAGCTTAAAGGCTGGAATGGACGCTCAAGCTCATGGTGGCCACCCTTTTGCCCGGCTGAGCTGGTCTCCCTACTTATCCATCCTTTCAAAAGTTGTTTATAAGTGGATTGGAAACTCAAGGGAGCGATGACTTTGCCACTGAACTTTGTCAACACTTTAGTCAATAAACTTGCTATGTGATACTTAATTCCTCTCTCCCCACAGGATAAAGGATGAGGATAAACATACGCTAACCTGAACTTAGCAGAGGAAGGGTGGAAACAAACAATTGACATACTTAGATGAGTAAAGCATAAACCTACACTTAATTTGCATGTTAAAAAAAATTCAGATTGACTTTTGCATCTTTTAGGACTGACATAAAGAGCTGGGAAACACAGGTAATCCTTGACTTACCACCACAATTGAGCCCAAGGTGTCTGTTGCTAAACAAGACATTAAGTAAGATTTGGTTCATTTTACAACCTTTCTTGCCGCAGTGGTTATGTGAATTAGTTAAATTAGTAACACAGTTGTTAAGTGAATCTGGCTTCCCCATTGACTTGGCTTATCAGAAGATTGCAAAAGGGGATCGCATGAACCTGGGACCTGGCAACTGTCATAAATACCAGTCAGTTGCCAAGCGTCTGAATTTTGATCACGCGACCATGGGGATGCTGCAAGGGTCATCAGTGTAAAAAAAAAGTCACTTTTTTCAGTGCTGTTGTAACTTCGAACGGTCATTAAGTGACCTGTTGTAAGTTGAGGACTATCTATATTGATAAAGCCTCTCTGGAGGTGATTTCCCCTGTTAAACTTTCCTTGGGATTTCCTGGAAGTGTGGAAAGCCAGAGAGATTGCAAATCACTGGAAAACTGATCATAAAATGAATAGCAGGGTATTTGACAACATCCCTAGGATGGAACTAATTGAAACCTTGCCAGAATATTACAGTTCCATAGAGGATGTCAACAATTTCTTTCCCCTTGGAAATTATGTCCAGAACCAATGACCTTTCATGTAATTGATGAGAAACAGGAAAAGAAATTGCAAGCACTTGATGTTAGTGGGAATCACTGGTATAATCTGGAAACAGCAATCATTCAACAATCTTAGCAACTTTAGAGGCAAATGTTTGGCTGATGGTGGTCAAGCTTAGAAATCTACCGTTAAAGAACTTTTGAGGTATCAAATGGTCTGAAAACTGCATTTTATATTGGAATATTCACAGTGAATTTTCTGGGCCTTTCTGCGATGTAGAGATTCTGGAAAGAGTGCAGAAAAAAGCAACGAAGATGATTAGAGGGTTGGAAGCTAAAACATATGAAGAACGGTTGCAGGAAATCTAGTGAAGTCTAGTCTAGTGAAAAGAAGAACTAGGGGTGACATGATAGCAGTGTTCTAATATCTGAGGGGCTGCCACAAAGAAGAGGGGGGGTCAACTTCTCTTCCAAAGCACCAGAAGGCAGAACAAGAAACAATGGATGGAAACTAATCAAGGAGAGAAGAAGATTCTTTAATGTAAACAATGCCTCAAAGTTCTTTGAAGAGTTTCATCTGTCGGAACCATGACAAGGGGATTACATGAATCTGCAACGGTCATAAATAGGGACCAGTTGCCAAGTATCTGAATTTTGATCACGTGACCATGGGGATGCTGCTATATGGTTGTGTGAAAAACGATCATAAGTCATTTTTTTTCCGGGCTGTTGTAACTTTGAACGGTTGCTAAACCAACTGTTGTAAGTTGAGGGCTACCTGTGCTGAGAAGATACTTTGAAATGGGAAGAACTCTGGACACAAGTAATTTTTTGACACATAATTCTCCATCAAGATCTACAGATGACTCCCTGCACTGTTTAATCTTGACGTGCTTTGCTAAATTTTCTGAGAGTTAGAATAATTAATCAGTGGAACAGCTTGCCTCCAGAAGTTGTGAATGCTCCAACACAGGAAGTTTTAAGAAGAGATTGGACAACCATTTGCCTGAAATGGTATAGGGTTTCCTGCCTGAGCAGGGGGTTAGACTAGATGACCTCCAAGGTCCCTTCCAACTACTACTACTACTTCTTCTTCTTCTTCTTCTTCTTCTTCTTCTTCTTCTTCTTCTTCTTCTTCTTCTTCTTCTTCTTCTTCTTTCTTCTTCTTCTTCTTCTTCTTCTTCTTCTTCTTCTTCTTCTTCTTCTTCTTCTTCTTATTATTATTATTATTATTATTATTATTATTATTATTATTATTATTAAATGCACTACAAGCAACATTTGAGATGTTAACCCAGTGGTGGCGAACCTATGGCACGGGTGCCAGAGGCGGCACTCAGAGCCCTCTCGGTGGGCACGCACACCGTCGCCCCAGTCCTAGGCCTTCAGCTGGGTTTTATAAAACCTTTTCGCTTTAGGCCTCCGCTGCCGTGTGCAAAAAAAAAAAAAGTTCAATCAATGTCAATTTCAACTTCTTGTGGGGAAAAAAAAGATCTTGCAAAGTTGGAATTGATTGATTGAACTTTTTAATCCCACCCAGTCTGCCGTTACCACCGCAGCCACGCCCACCCAATGGGCCACACCCACCCGGCACCCGACAATGCATAAGTGGGTTTTGGGTTGCAGTTTGGGCACTCGGTCTCTAAAAGGTTCGCCATCACTGTGTTAACCATTGAGCCAGGTGGCATTTGCTAATATTTACCCAGACATGTTCAAGAACATTCTGTAAGCATTTGCAATCTGCTTTATGATACAAAAATTCCAAAGGGGCTTAAAAACATTTTAAAAACAGCAGTATTTAAAACTGACTGGTTCCTATAAAATATATCCAAGGCTGTCGGGGGGGGGGGGGAATGCATCACAGGGCTATAAGAATGCAAGGAAGGCCACAAATAATCTTTCTACAACTTGTACTCTACATAAAACTATATTTCTTGCTTTTTAAAATCTGATATATTTGGGGATAGTGCCTCTTAATTATTTTTAATGGTGCATTGAATTTGTAGATTACCTTTTGACTTTTTTGATACAGGCAACTGTAAAGAAATGGTGTGGAAACATTAATCCAGGAAGGATCTAATAATAGATCGTGTAAAGGTGAATAAGATACAAGCTGCTACCTTTTCTTGCTTGGTGTATTTGTAAGCATTTTGCAAATATATGTGTGTAGTATCAAAGGCCAAGAGATAAGCATGTAATTTGCAAAGAAATGGAGGGGAAAGGTTGAAAAAGTCAGATCTCCATCTGAGAAATGGCTGCAACTAGCAAACTTTTTATTCGAGAGAAAAAGAAGTGAAAAGAATCCCAGCTGAACTCAATTGATCAAAGTTATGGAGGATTTGAAAGAAAGGCTCAATTGTGATCGTAAGTTGAGAACTAGCCCCTTTATCTGTGTGTGCACATTTTATGCTGGTGACTTTTCCTCAGCTTTCTCCCGCTTTTTTCCTCTCACCTCCATCTGCTTGTTCCAAGTGCGCCATCTGCTGGCTGCAAGAAGTTATCAATTTATACTAACTACCCGGAGCAATTCATCAGAATATACTCTTGATTCTGCAGATACACTGTGCCTAAACTTCAAAACTGTCCTCACTGTTAGGAAGTTTCTCCTTAATTCCAGGTCGCTTCTCTCCTTGATTAGTTTCCATCCCTCGTTTTTTTGTCTTGCCTTCTGGTGCTTTGGAAAATAAGTGGACCCCCTCCTCTTTGTGGCATACTCAAAGATTTTTTTTTATTTAATTGGTTGATAGATCCTGTGGCCTACAGTTGTAGTATCAGTAGTCTTCTTCTTCTTCTTCTTCCTCTTCTTCTTCTTCTTCTTCTTCTTCTTCTTCTTCTTCTTCTTCTTCTTCT